TCTCTTCTCCAGGCTGAACACCCCCAACTCTCCCAGCCTGGCCTCACAGCAGAGGGGCTCCAGCCCTCGGAGCATTTTAGTAGCCCCTCGGAGCATTTTAGTAGCCCTCCCCTGGCCCCGCTCCAACAGCTCCATGCCCTCCTTGTGCCGAGGGCTCCCGAGCTGGACGCAGGGCTCCAGGGGAGGTCTCCCCAGAGCAGAGCACAGGGGCAGAATCACCAGGGTTGTTTTCTACCTAGAATTGTTTTACTAACAAGAGTCAGGTCTCCGGTTCTGCGTATTCTTGCAAAGGGTCACTGATCTGACAAGCCACCGTACAAACAAGCTCAGATATAATTTGTCTTCGTTGGTTGGGTTTTTTTTCCTGAACATGGCATGTTTTCTCCAAGTTCAGCCTGCGCAGCCCCCAGGTCCCTCTGGGCAGGGCTGCTCTCCATCCTTTCTTCCCCCAGCCCGTACTGACGTGCGGAAAAGGGACTCCCCAGTCTGTCAGACCGTACCGTGGGCATGGTCATCCAGCGCTGGGCAGCACGGGGGGGGCAGTCCCACCCCAGTCGTGCGCGTGGTAGCTTGCCTTGAAGTTATAGACAAGGTGTCACATGTACGTAAGATTCCCAAATACGCCTATACATCGGCATGACTTGGCCCCGCTTCGTATTAAAATGAGCCCCAAGACGTCGTTTCCATAAACTCCTCGCAACTGCGCTTGCGCGGTGTCTGCTGGTGGGGGTCACAGGGGTCGTGGGGGATGAAGGCCGACGGCTCCTCTTCGTCACCGCTGGTAACCCCCCCTTGTTCTTGCGCAGACTCAGTCGCTCCTTGGCTCTTGCCCACACTGTCGGTTTTAGCTGCTTCTCAAGGCAACTTCTCGGTTCTTACCAAGAACTCGTACGACAGACGAGAGCGAGCACGTTTTAAGCAACACCTTCTCTCCCGGGATCCCCTGGTCAGTATGGAAACCGGGGGTCACCCCGACCCAGGGGCGTGACCTTGCCCTTGTTGAACCTCACGAGGTTCACCCATGACCCCACCTCTC